TGGTGGTAGCAGTAATAGCAGTAGTAATAACAATAGTTACAATGCTAGTGGTGGTGGTAGTAGTAGTATTAATAAGCAATGCCAATGCTGGAAATACTAATAACAATACCAGTTGCAAAATCAACAGTCATAAAAACAATCTGCATGATAACAACAGAAATATAAATAATGATAATTCATGGTAGTAGTTGTAGTACTAGTAATAGTCTCAGAAATTTTACGAAATACAATAATGGTAATAGTAGTAGTAGTACTAGCAGTAGTAGCAAAAAATATTAGCATCACGGGGAAAATAGCAGCAGCAGTGACGTCTTTCCATGTCAGCAGATGCAGCAGCAGTCGAGCGGAAAAACTTTTCATGGTAAAACCGCATCTTCCAAACTCACTCCAGTTCGAACAAGTGGATCCTTGAGACACCCCCCACCCAAGTAATTACTGGGCACGGTAAATTGGACATCGGTTTTCGAGACCCGCTGCGCGATAGCAGAAATTGGCTTGCGGCCACAGCATCCGTACACATATAGTCCATGCTTTGGACACGCAGCATTGCGTCCAGTCGTGATGTACGAACGGTCGCAACGCTTTACCCGATCGCAGGCGGCACGGCGGCATTTCCGAAAACCTTGAACCCTAATCGCTTAAAACCCTGTCAGCCTGCCCTGATTAAACTTTCACAGCCCTACAAGCCCATTACGTCGCAATCGGCGATCTGAAAGCACAACGGCAGGTACAGCCAATCTAGCGGCGTATGCGGGGGTCATGTGGGCGACTGTGTTAAGCCGGAGCGATGATGGCGTGGAGGTGCCGGCGTCGTGGATTACTTGGATAGCGACTCTCGCGGACTTGCAGGAACAACGGGGTCTCTACCGAACGAGCGAAACAGAACAAACCGGCGACAGAAGGCGATCGTCACGTCTTGCAACGAGGTGTTCCTCCCAAGCATAACTCTGTGAAAGGAGGCGACGTACCGAACGGATAGACAAATCACCCGAACCTGAAAACGCGAAGCACATGGCTGTCAAAGGGACCGTCTGCACGCACTTATCTCACTTATCTCACACTGCAGTCTCCGGGCGCGGGCCATATCTTCGAAGCTTCATCTTCCGGTCTTCGATGCCCCGTGGTAGCAGCAGCGCAGGTACGGGACAGCAGGACATCTCGCGCATCGCTGGCTGGTAAGTGTTCCGCAATCCTGTACCCTGGTCTGCAAGCCGAGTCGTCGTGGATCCTATCTAACGTTCATCATTTCGTCTCTTGTGCATCCGGGGATGACACAGCAGCTGTCTGTGCTCCACTTGTGACGCAAGCTACGACAGCACGCCGCGCGTCCCGCGCACCCGGGACATGGTGGGAAGACCGTCCCGGCGACACGTTCCCCAGCAACTCGCCGTGGCGCTGCAAGCTACATGGCGGCATGGTCCACTGAACCCACAACCCTAAGAACGCCTTTTTCTTCGCAGTCGCATCTCTGCCAACTGCGTCCTTTGCGCCGACCGCCGCCAGAGAGAGTAGAGGCCCTTAAAGGATGAGGGTTTAGGGTTTATACGGCTTAATTCAGGGTTTAGGGTTTAGGGTTAATAAGTTAAGATGGGGTTAGGGTAATTCAGGATTTAGGGTTTAGGGTCAACAAGGGGTTAATGTATTTCAGGGTTTAGGGTTAAGAGGGGTTTAAGGCTTGAGGATGAACTCAGAAGGTGTAGGATTTGGGGGCGAAGAGGGATTTGTTGCTTATAAGGATTGATTCAGGGCTTAGGGTTCAGAGGGGCTTAGAGTTTAGGGTTTGGGGCTGAGGAGGAGGGTTGACAGGGTTCGGGTGGGTAGTACCGTCCATGAGGCGGAGGGTTCAGGGTTTTAGTAGGTTTAGGCAGTTGTTTTTAAGGGTTCTTCTTAGTGGTTCCAGAAAAGGTTTTGGGCACTGGGGTTTGGTGGGTTTAGCGGTCTGGCGCTAGGATTTTGGGTCTGGGATGGGATAAGGGCCGCGACTAAAACGGAAACAACTCTAAACCTTCATGTTATTTCCATCCGAAGGACAACTAAAAACAACTCAACAACTGACTACGTTTGGGTATAGGAAAGCTTGCGTGCACCCTCGTACCCAAAAGCAAGACACCACTTTGGAGAATCCTTCAAGCCTATTTTTCGAGATTAGCAAGACTAAGCCTCCCTAAATGTAACAGTACAGGTACTACCAGTACCTCGTTATTGGGCAATGCAACCGTGAGGGTAGATACTTAAACCCGAGACCAGTCGCTGAGACCTATACACCTAGACTCTACACCCTTAGACCCTACACTTCTAAACCCTACACCGCTACATCCTAGAGCCTACACGCTACGCACTTAAACTCAAAACCCTAAACCCAGAATCCCTGGACCCTATAGGGTTTAGGGTTTATGGGTTTATCCCTAAACCCTAAACCCTAAATTCTGAATCCGTGAGTTCCTGCTGCCTGAACTTGAATTACACGAAGCTCGAGGAGCTCCGCACACTGGAGCCTTCACGAATATAAGGGGCCCGAATACTCATTGGGGTAGTTATAGCCTAGAGGCTGGGGCTTGGGGCTTTACAGAGGGATGAACATTTACCATGGAGGCTTGAGCCACTTATAGATAGATAGATAGATAGATAGATGATGGCAAGAAGATGATTAGCAAACCTGTGAATTGTGGAAGACTGTTACCAGTTATTCAGAGCCCTCCACTCCACCCTCTCAAGGGTCTGTCAGGCTGTGCTGCAGGAATCGCCGCAACGCTTCAAGGGGGCCGACTCCGACGTTCCTTCTGCGGCCTAAACCCTGGTTAGGGTTTAGGGTTTAGGGTGAACCCGAGACCCTAAACCCTAAACCCCTATCCCTCAGGCTCTGGGGACCCAGGGTTAAACTGCCATGGGCCATAACCTACTTTGTTGTAGCTTCTTAGTATGATCCCGAATGTCGAATTTGCAGGGACCCTACAAAAAAGAGGGTCCTTTCTATTTGGTTAACCCACCAAAATTCTAAAAGTAACTCACATAAACCCTGAACCCCAAAGTCGTGAAATAACAGGCCAACAAACATTGAGGCGGCGGAGATCGGAGTCGAAATTCCCACGTTTGGCTATTCGATCGGATTGGGTGCCCTTCTCGGAGTGAGGGGAGCAGGGCTTAGGGTTGCAACTTTGGGGTTGAGGGTTTAGGCTTTAGGGTTTAGGGCTTAGGTTTCAGAGCCTAAGCCCTAAACCGTGCTAGCTCTGGGCTTGGTTTAGGGTGTACAGGGTGTCGGTGCTAGGGCTTTAAGTTTTAAGGCTTTAGGGTCTTGAGGCCCTGGCCTCTAAGAAGGGTTTTTGCTGTTTAGGGCTTTAGGGCTTTTCGGGGTTCCTGTGGCATAGAGCTTTTCTGGGTCTTTAGGGAATGACTTCTGGGGTTTCAGCTTTTCACGGCTTGAGAATTTTGGGGCCTTGTGCTTTGCTTGCACTAGAAGCTTAATATGGGGGCTCGCTAATATAACTATAATATAAGGGAGCCCAAAATCCTACTCAATTCTAACTATAAGGCGCCCATATTAGGGGTGCAACCTGGTATAGGTGCTCGAGAGTTGGCTGTAGGTTGTTGCGGTTTGGCGGAGGACCCGCTTCTGGGTTCGAAATCACGTGTTTAGGCTTCAAGCGCTCAGGCTTTTGTGGTTCGAGCCTGAGGTTCAAACGTTCGCAGGTCCGGAGCAACTGCACGGCTCACCTGTCCGTAGCACCTAGTCAGCATGTTTGAAGCAGCCTGATCTAGATTTTCTGGGGGGGGGGGGGGGGGGGATGAGCTTCCCCGCACGGGCGTTTCATGTAGAGGTCGGAATTAGTATCAATGGTTTCCCCTTGGAGCACCATCATGTAATAACCCACATTAGAATTATTAAGCCTCCGATATAAGACCTAAACTGGGGATAGCCGCTGATTTCATGCACCACCTGCAGCCGGCCTCTCTGGGGTGCCTATGCTTGGTGGAGAAATCACAGTCCAAGAGTAGTACATGCAAACGGAGATCAGTTCCATGGACGCCCTTATCTATATATACACATACTCATACACACATGCTCGTGTAGGCGTCGGCGTGTTAGTGTCTGTATGTAAACTTTATGTATTTATGTAAGTATGTGTGTATGTATGTATGTATGTGCAGCTTCAGCCATGCCTCGCTCAATGAAATAAGCTCGATAAGGAGCTTAAGAGGCAAGCACCACCTGGACCCCCAAAGTATGTAGAATAATAGCCTTTACAAGGTTTCGGGCCATTATTTCACCTACCTCTGGGGGTTTAGGCAAGGTACAGGTACAGAGTTGGATGACAGAGTTGGGAGATGGATCAGAACATGGGTGTTACACGCACGGTAAAGCCCCACCAAGTAGAAACCAAGGAGCGCTACATACCACGCATCCTAATTACTACAATGTGAAGTGATGCCTGAAAGGGTAGGTGTCTTAGGGTCCGGGCAAACCTTAAACTCAAAACCACACACCCAAACCCTACAATCTACAACCTTCAGCGAACCTGACTTTGTGCCACATAGAGCCGTGCCCTACAGAGCCACGGGTGTGTTTGCCGACTCGGATCGTTGCAGCACATTTTGGGGATTTAGGGGGTGTGATGCTGGTCCTGACTTTCCCTCGTCATCGCGAATGTACGCGGCAGACTATGCAGCAATCTCGAAAGCAGAAGATGTAAACATGCGGCTTTAGAAACATGCACGGATGGGGTTTAGATTTATGTAAGTACAACGGAAAAGTAAACTTCAGTCATGGCCGAGCCATGTGTTTAGAGTTATTTAGGCTATGTACAGATTGTCGAGGGTTTACGTATGGTTTGGGGAGGGTTCAGGAACTACAACTATCCAGCTTGTCTAGATTTCAGCTGCGCCGATCGAGCGAGAAGGCCGTCAGATCACTGCATTCCAGGGAGAAGCGCTTCATCTGCGACCCTGCAGTTCCCGGAGGCTCATAGGGTTTACGGTTTAGGGTTTAGGGTTTACGGTTTATAGGGTTTAGGGTTTAGGGTTGACGGTTTAGGGTTTAGGGTTTACGGTTTAGGGTTTAAATAGGGTTTACGGTTTAGGGTTTAGGGTTTACAGTTTAGGGTTTAGGGTAGTAGATCGGGAAGTCAGAAGGTTAGGGTAACCCTATTTTGCGGGAGAGCTTATATTAGGTTCTACCTCTCATACCCTCTAGGTTCTCCATATTTGGATCCCCCGCCGCTCATGCCCTGAATGTGTCCGTGTCCTCAAATAAATAGAAATAGGGATGTCTTTGGAGGGGAGTGGTGTGAGGAAAGCTCTGAACCCGAAACCCTACAGGATCCCTACATCGGAAAACCCAATCATACGGTTGAGGATCTAAATCCCCACCCATCATAAGGAATATCACATAATTCGCATAGTTTAGGGTCCTAAAAGTAACGCAGGATGTATATCATCAACAGTATTTCGGGATTCAGGCTTCTAGGGTTGCAAGATGTTGCAGACCTCTGGGTCTGAACAAAACCCAGGGCCTCAGCGCGCCTTCCTGTGCTTTTCCGCCGCAGAGGCTAGATCATGTAAAGGCCTTCATAATCAGAGGAGGGTTTTGGGGTATATCATCCTATAATCATAACAAGGAACCCCCGAAATAGTCTAGGTACTGTAATCACTTAGGCTTCTATATTACATGGGGGGCCTGGGTCCCCCCCTGAACCCCAAGCCCTGAGATCCCTGAAAGACACCTGAACGACGCCTTGGACCCAATGAGCTATCCCACAAACCCGAAGAAACCTTCAGAGCCCCCAAGAAAGACCCAAGCAAATCAGCTTCCAGCAAGCGGCTGAAGCTTCAGGTCCTCCTTCTTCTGCAGATCCCGAGCTTTCAGGAAGTACTTCCTCGGTTTAGGGCTTTCGGGTTTGGGGTTGAGTGGGTGAGCAGATCGGGCTCTAGGGCTCCAGGGTTGAGGGGTTCAGGGGTGTTCAGGGGCTTGGGGATTCTAAATAAGGGTTTGGGAGTAGTGGTTCAGGGCTTTGGCATTGAGGCTTTCGGTTTGAGATTCTTCAGAGTGCAGGCCGAAGCTCTTGTCGATGATCCCCTTGATGCCGGGGCTGAGAATCACTTGGTTCGCGCCTAGGCACGGATCAGGGCTTGAAGAGCGACTTGGGATGTACAGTTTTACGGGTTTCGAGCTTCAGCGCTGGGGCTTTCAGGGATGAGGATTCCGACCAGGGGTCTGACGGTTTAGGCCTTGACAGCCCCAGGGTAGAGGGCTCAGAGCAGAAGGAAAAGGGAGGTCCAACAGCGCCTCGCCCCGAGTGCTGGCAGCCAACATGATGTGTCGACAGTGCCCGGGGGGGCCTATGTTTCAGCTCTAGGTATATGCCACTTCGTGCAATGACGATGCCCGCCCACAGAACCGTTGGCTATGCTGGCAGCACCACCTGTATTGCCACTGCTACTCTACCCCGACAACTGTTACTGCCTCTGCCCCTGCTGTTGCTGCTGCTCCTGCTACTGCTACTGCCACTGCCGATTGGGCTGCCGCTACCACTCTGCTCTTCCTACTAGTACTACTATACTACGACGACGATGACGACGACGACCGCGACTACGACCACGACGACTAGAACTACGACTGCGACGAAAACAACAACTGCTGCTGCTGCTGCTGCTGCTGCTGCTGCTGCTGCTGCTGCTGCTACGACTACCTCCAGCCCCCCACTGATGAAGCAGCACCGCGAGCAGCCGAAGCAAGGAGCCGAAGCTGTCGTCGCCCAAGACACAAGGTTACCATCCAGGGCCGTTACCCTAGGCTTCCAGGGACCTCATGATTGGGTCCTTAAGGGGTCTAGGGCCCTAACTATAAGGTCCTTGGAAGCTCAGGGTTAGCCACATGAGAGTCACCAGGCTTTTTCGGCAGTCATCGGAACAAAGAAGCATCAAAAGCATTCCAGAACCTCAGCTTCCCCACTTGTTGGGCCGAGGAGCTGATGTAAAAAGGCACTCCATCAGCAATGGCCTTTTTGAGGTCGATCCATATCGCAATCTCGCAATCGTATCCTTGGCATCTGAGGTAAACCCTATAAAAGTCCGAATTAAACATCACTGCACAGTTCTCTGTGCAGGTCTGCTCTACACCAGGCCGGTGGGTGTTGGGGGTTTTAGCCCACACAGCAGGAACGTCGCTACCGTACACTCAGCTTGCAGCAGCTTGCAAACGAGCGACCCTGCTGCATGCGCGGAGTTTGAAACTCGAATCCTCAACGCTAAACCCTAAACCCTCAACCGTGAGCCCTAGCATGCATGGCGGCCTCCCAGGCGCTTCCCCATCGATTGATTCCGGACTTTATTTTTCCGGAATCCAGCTTATTGCAACTTACCAGTTTCAAGGTCAAACTCCAAACTCCAGAAAAATGGACCCTCAACGCCAGAAGCAATCTCTGAAACTCTACATGATTCCCATACACCCCCACCAAAGCTGGCAGTCAACAAGCTCACAACGTCTGGAAATTGGTGCGGACAGGAGGCGCATGCCCGAAATGACCTTGGCCGTCTGGCGGCTGGAGAGAGGAGCGCATCAAGGTTTGTAGGGTTGTTAGTCAGGTAGAGGGAGGGCATCCGTCCGCAAGAACTGGTAGTGGAAAAAACAGAAAACTAAAAACAAAAAAAAAAAACAGAAAACTCGCAACGGAAAACACACGCAACTTCACCGAACGCCCAGACAGTGGATATGGTGTCTTTCCTGCAATTACAGATAAATGTCGATTGGGTGTCCTGAACGCTGCATGCCTCGTTTAGCAATGCAAGTTATGCAAAGACCACATCCCCAGAGAGCATGTAGTACTTGCCCAAAACCGACAAGAACATCATCCTGAAACCTGACACCAAAAGTCTCAACTCCAAGCCAAAAACCTGAAAAGAAACCCTACACCTACACGCAGGTCAAGCCCGAGCCGGAACCGGAACACCTTTCCCTAAGGGTCCAAATACCTAGTAATCAGATACTCTCCCAGAAGAATGACCTGCAAAACGACGATCCATAAAGCCCTAGAAACCCCTTAAGGTGAGATCCCCTGTGGAACCCGATCCTCTGTCGAACCACGATGAAGTTTCCAAAATCTGACGGCAGCTCACTCGCTTGTCGCCCGGCGCATACGGTGCGAAATGCACGTGGTTGCGGAAGCCCTGACCTGGTTAAGGCAGGAGAGGTAACACGTGGGGCCTGAACTACTAAAGTCAGACCAGCTCCCTGTGGTACTGACTTTGGACCCACTGGCTGCTCGTTCTCAATCCTGGCACTCACATCTATGTAGCCCAAAAACTATATTGACTCCTCGGGGAATCATGACCATTGAAGAGTCCAGCATGCTTGGGAAGCAACCTCAGAATCCCAAATCTGTATGTATGTATGTATGTATGTATGTATGTATGTATGTATGTATGTATGTGTATATGTATATGTATATGTATATGTATATGTATATGTATATGTACATGTATACGTATATGTATGTAT